CTTTCTTTTCAATCGAAGCTCCTTCATTCAACCACTTCGGAGAATCATTTGAGATCAGTGGGGCTAACCACTCTTTCATCTCTTCCAGCTTCTTTATTCTGATCCAGTGTTGGTAGTGATCCCTAATATTTGTGGACATGCCCAAGACTGCGTTGATTCACAGTTCACCTTCCTGCCTCTAACAACTATGTAGTCAACTTCTTTGAAAGCTATTGCTAGCTGCTTTTTCTGAGGTATTAGTGCACTGTATGCACCGTAGAACTCTCTTCCCAGTTTTGAATATAAGGACTACGGGGTTTGGTGATATTTGGAACTTGTGGTGTGTCAGGCACTCCATTATCTCTGGGTACCTGCCAATAACCCCATCTATTGACAGACGCTTTTCCTCAAGAATCATCCACAGCCCTCAGCCTTTAATCTATTCACTGAATTGGGCGGAGAACCCTATACTGGAGGTGCCAACATTATCGCCTGCTCTGGGACTGGAGGATTAGCGGTGGTAGGCCGAGAATTCCCGATCCTAGATGGATCATTCAACTTCTTGGATCGTCACTAAGTCCTCTGTGCCTCCATCTGGTCATCCTCATCAGAACCCACACCCTCACTTTTAGATGGGTTGGGGTCATTGGTATAAAAGCAATCACTACCGGAGCTTACTTCTGATAACTCAAGGGCTTCAAACCCTTGTCGTTTCCACCAGTTGTACAAAGTTTTGCGGCCTAGCCCCTGGATGCAGCTGCATCCTCATTGATTGCAATCCCTTTTGTTTTCCCTTCGCGTGACGTTTTTCTCCCAGCAACTTTAGACCTAGCCATGTCTGCAATACATCAGGAACAAGTTAGAAATAATTAAATCAAAAGTGCAGACAATCAGTAGTAGATAGATTCTCCGAACAAGTTTGCGAATCGCCGAATCTCTTTGGTGAACTGGATCGGGCTCGCCGAAGGGATTGGCTCAAAAATTTTGCAAGTTGGAGATAAGAGGCCCCTTTCAGCGGATCACCGACTACTTTTGGCGATCAAGGATTTGTCCACCGAAAGTTACACTGCAACAAGGGTTCAGGGATGCAGACAAAGGGCGATCGAAACTACCTTCGGCGAATCGCCGAGTTCTTTAGGTGACCTCAGGTTTCTCACCGAAAGTTACAGACTTCAACTCCTCATTTAGCATAAAATTAAAGGTGAGATAGGGGCATTAGGTGAACCACTGAGTGATTTGGCGAGCTTGACCCAACTCGCCAAACGGCCCAACATCCTTTCATGCAACCCACCTTCTCGAATTCAACCCTACAACCCCCCAAAAAAAAATTAAACTATGCACTAGTACAATTAAGCTCAGATCCATAACACTCAACCATGCTAAACACCCTGCACGCAGAACTTCACAAGATTTAACTCATTTTGGCGCGCATCATAAAGGCAATTCAAAAATCAAGATAAAATGGGCAAGATTTACGAATTATATTTGGCATTTAAACAATCTAAACCTATCAGCGAGGCCCAGCACATGACAACCAGATAATATCACTTGCATAAGAGTTCAAATATAAAAAATAAATGCGGGGTTTGGGAAAACCAACCTTTACTACTGATTAAAACAAGACTGAAATGCTAGGCGGCAAAGTAATCTAATTTCGAGCACAAATCAATCAACTAAACTACTTATCGAATGCGGAAATATTAAAAATACTAAGTAGGTGTGATTTTGCAAAGATCAAGAGTGAGGGGAAATGGAAAAGGTTGAGAGTTTAAACCTGAGGCTTATAAAAACATATCCAGATCTCACCCATTCAACGATATTAGTCGAATTTGCCCAGCTACTTAGCAATCCGCTGAGTGGTTACTTACCTCACTGAGCTTTACAGGACCTTCAATCAAAGTTAGGATCCAAACGGCGGTCCTCATCGGGGTCACCGACCTAGTTGGCGAATCGCGATGGTGCTCCTGGTGCTCCCTGACTGGACTTTTGCCCTCAAACCTATACTTTTCACCACTTTTTACACTTGAACCTACAAAATCATAACACCATTATTTCTAGACAAAATTAAACCATTTAAGGCCTTGGGTTTCCTCCCAAGAAAGCGCCTTAGTGAACGTCGTGACCCGACGCAAGTCCTTACTCACTCTCCATCATTCGGGTTGGCCCTAGTGCTACTAGGTAACCCTAATAGTTCATTTGAGTGGAGAGGAGGCACTACATAAATCATGAGTGTCCTAATCTGCAGGATCGATCTAGAATGATAGCTAATCATCTAATTCAACACTTCAATATTCTCGTTCATCTCTTCCAACACTCGATCTTGACTTTTTCTACTCATGAGGTGGTATGTACCTCCCTTGACTTTTGCACTACTCTTCCACCTCTGATATTTTGGTGGCCAAATCGTTCAGCTGAGTTACCAGTGCGGTTAACTTGAAGTCCCTCTAGACTTCTTGATTCGTCTTAGCCAATTTGCTACCATTTCCCTTAGCCATATGCAGGGTATCTACCTACAACAACAACGGAAAGAAAAACAAAACTAAAAATAAAGTTAGTAAAATACTACTAAGAAGAACAAAATGTTTTACTAAACTATAAATTCTCAAATAACACCACTCCCCGGTAGCGGCGCCATTTTGATGTTTGTGTAATCAAGACACAACTTCCAATTCGAGTGTCTACGATCATACAATAGTAAAGTAATTCAACCAAGGGTTGGGGTCGAGTCCCAAGGGAGTGATTTTGAGAATTAATAGAAAATTTTTTTTAGTTCTAATTAGTCATAGCTATAGACATTATCAAATATAAACATACTAAATCTAAAGGGGGTGACGCAAGCTGAAATTATGAATGGGGGGGGGGGTTGTATTAGTTAACAACTACAAACAGCGAAAATATCAGAAAATGAGAAAGAGAGACGGGATTTTTAGGATGTGATAGGAATACGGGATAAACAAAATTGTCGGGTACATGCTTTTGATAGTAAATTGTTGAGTATTTGTGACTAGGCTAGACTATAGTGGGGGTAAATTCTCTCTCAAGCAACCTACCCCGAATCGAGTCAGTTTCTCTCGAACACCGAGTTGTCATTTTAAGCACAACCTCCTCCTTTGCCCATTCAGTCTCTCGAATTGAATGTATGGGAGAAGGATTAGGATTCACTCTCTCGAGCTGGACCCATGTCGACCCAATACCACCAGCTATCAATTTAGTAGTCTTAGTTTTACAACCTCTATCTCGAGCAATCCGAAAACACTAAGATGAAATCGTATTTGCAACTACAATTCCATTAAGTTCATACGCATTTACTAAATGAAATCACATTTAATCAACAAATAAACCATTAACAAGCAAGACCCAATAGCTAATCTAACCCATATTTACAAAAATATCAGTTTCCATCAACTGGGTATGAAGGATTAAGTCTTAAAACACGTCAAGAGTGAAGAATCTTCGAGACCCAAGTCCAATTTCTTGGAATTGAAACCCCTTGAATCTTCAAGGTCTTAGAACAAAGTCTCCAAAACCCTCTACAACTTAGACTCTCTAAAAACTGTAAAAAGTTCTAAGAATAATAGTGATAATCCCTTCAGCTAGAAATTTAAACAAGTACTTAAAGTGTATGAAAATGTGTTGTACAGAACCCTTCGGCGAAGTTAGTCGGGATCACCGATACATTCAGTGATCCACCGTTTGGTCGATTTCATCACCTTCTTGCTTTCGCCTTTAGCCTCTTTGCGTTTTGAGTCGTTGGGCGGTATGGTATTGCTCCGCGAAACTGTTCAGCGACACGCTGACTACTCCATTTCATCGTCAACTTGACCTTTTCCTTCAGGGCTCAGCGCACTGCAACAAAAGGTGATCTCCGGGCCGATCAGTGACTCGACAACTGGGTTTGGAGATCCTCATGCCTTCATTTCTTCGTTCTTTTCAGCCGCTTTGTTCCTTCTTGCCAAGTAGTGTCCATGCTTTGCCTAAAACTCTAAATACCTCAAAATTAAGTGTTTTCATCAAATATTGAGACAAAATATGCATTTGAGGACACTAATTCTATCACAACATAGCCCTAAATGAGTCCAATTTGTGGACGCATCAAGTACCCGTGTCATATGATGTTGGGCATGGAAGTGAGTACCCATGAACCCATAAGATGGACATGGAGGCGAGTTCCTATGATCCTTATGTAAGGCAAGAGGCGACTACCCATGAGGCTTTATAGAAAGGCAAGCAACATTTCCCCATGTCAATAAAATTTAAGCTAACCATGTTATGATAGGTGATGAGCTTGAATGATGGCTTAAGGTTGCCTTCTATGATGAGTAAGACTAGTGGAGGATTACCCAATTCTTGGCTAAGTATGCTTTGAGGTTACATCAAGAAGTATTCCTTATATGTTGATATGATCTATTATATGCATTGATTATGACTATGGTTTATGTTGTCTAACTCTTATGTTTATGTTGAGGTTTATGCATGTTATCACACTTAGTACATTCTTGTACTAATGCATACTCTTACCTACATTGATTATTCAGATGTAGGGTCCAGCGTTCCCAATTCTCATCCATGTGACTATGATCTATAGTAGAGGCAAGGTTGAAGATTGGTGAGTCCTCATAGCATTCGAGGATTTGGCCACCATTTCTCTTATGTTCTTTAATTTTATGTTCTGAACATTGTTGTATGGGGTGTGTCCTAAAAATCTTTGTATTATATGGTTTTGAGACTATTGTATGAGACGTCTGTTTCATTTTATAAAGACTTTGATGTTGGTTAAAGTGTTTTAAATTTTACCATTTTTCTATTATCTTGACTATGAAAGCTAAGTGGCTTATATCAGGCCTCTCAGGGATTTGTATGCCATGTTACGTGTAGGGTGTTCTCCTTGGAGTCGCCACATTTATGAATGAGATGGTACGAGTTGTTTAAGAAACTTCACTTTTTTCTTCACTCTAAGTCGTGCCACAGAGTTTAAATCTATAAGGTGTTTCTCCTAATCCTTATCCGGTAGTCTACATGATATGACTACTCGAAGAGCTTTTGATAGAAAGACTGAGGGAGAAAATGAAGGTCAAGGAGCTCCTCCCCAAACTTTGGTTGACCCTTTGGCTGAGCAAGTGACTAATGTGGTGTTTAGGACTGCTTTTCAAGTGTTGGATCAAGCTGTGACGGCCCAAGTCGACAGGCAGGTTGTGAACCATATGAACCCAAAGTGGGTACGTCGGCTTCTAGAGTGAGAGACTTTACTAGGATGAATCCTCTGGAATTCTATGGTTCTAATGTTAAGGAAGATTCTCAAAACTTCATTGATGAGGTTTATAAGCATGACCATCATGGGAGTTACTCTGATAGAAAAGGCAGAATTTTCCGCTTATCAACTTAAGGGGGTTGCTCAAATTTTGATCAACCAATGGAAGGATGCATGACTGGTAGATGCTGGTCCCCGAGAGTGGGAAAGGTTCAAGTCCGCGTTTCTTGATAAATTCTTTCCTCTTGATATGAGAGAGGCAAAAGTGCTTGAGTTCATTAATCTTCGACAAGGAAATATGATTGTGAAGGAATATGCTTTGAGGTTTACTCAATTGTTGAAATATGCTCCTTCTATAGTTGCCGACTCTAGGGCAAGGATAAGCAAGTTCATTTTGGGTTTGTCCGGATTGGTAGTGAAAGAGTGTCGTTGGGCTATGCTTTTCCATAACATGGAAATTGCTCGTCTTTTGACTCATGCCCAAACTATTGAAGAGGAGAAACTTAAGGAAAGATCTAGGCAGAACAAGAGGTTTAGAAATGGTGATGGTAATTTCTCTTATGCAAGATCCGATGGAAATAGTCATCCTAGATATAGACAAAGTTTTTTCGGGCAAGGTTCCTCCAATGCTCCTAAGTTCAACAAAGATCGGGTGTCTAACCCTAAACCTCAAGGAGGAAATGGTAGTGGGTCTTCATTGCCAAATTGTGCTAAGTGTGGAATGAATCATGGAGGTAAATGTCTAGCAGGTTCCAATGCTTGTTTTGGCTGTGGTAAGATAGATCACAAGATAAGGAATTGTCCTTCGGGTTCTAAGAATGCGGGAGATAGTCGTCGTTAGGGCTCAACCCTATCTTTCATCCGGTCCAGGTGGTTCGGGTACTAATGCTCCCAAGTAAAATATGTTCTATGCACTTCAGACTCGTGGTGAGCAAGAGGCTTCTCCGAATGTGGTTACCGGTATATTAAAAGTCTTTCACCTTGATGTTTTTGCATTACTTGATCTAGGTGATACCTTCTCTTTTGTGACACCATATGTGGCTATGAGGTTTGATGTGCTTTCGGATGTGTTGTTAGAACCTTTTTCTGTCTCTACTCACGTTAGTGATTCTATTGTGGCTGAGAGGGTCTTTAGAAAATGTCCCGTCTCCTAATCCTATTGAGTTACTCTTGTTGATTTGATAGAGCTTGATATGCTAGATTTCAAATTTATCTTAGTTATGGATTGGCTGCACTCATTTTATGCTTCTATTGATTGTAGAACCCGTGTAAACAAATTTCAGTCTTTGAATGAGCCTATCCTAGAGTGGAAGGGGGAAAGTTCTATGCCTAAGTGTGAGTTTATCTCTTGTCTTAAAGTTAGGAGGATGATTTCTAAGGGTTGCATGTACAATCTAGTTAGGGTGAGGGATGTGGGATCTGAAACCCCTACTCTTTAGTCAGTTCCCATTGTTAATGAGTTTTCGGAAGTATTCCTAGATGATTTACCCAGTATTCCTCCATAAAGGGAAATAGATTTTGGTATTGAAGTTCTTCTAGAAACACAACCTATTTCTATTCCTTCATACCGAATGGCTCCGGTAGAACTTAAAGAATTAAAAGAGCAATTGAAAAATTTGTTGGATAAGGGTTTCTTCCAATAGAGTATTTCTCCATGGGATGCTCCAGATTTGTCTGTTAAGAAGAAAGATGGTTCACTTCGAATCTGTATTGACTACCGGCAACTGAATAAGGATCCTCTTCCAAGAATAGATGATTTGTTTGACAAACTCCAAGGAGCGAGTTACTTTTCTAAGATTGACCTTAGGTCGGGTTATCACCAATTGAGGGTAAAAATGATGATATTCTAAAAATGGTTTTTAGAACTGGCTATGGTCATTATGAGTTTTTGGTGATGTCGTATGGGTTGACTAATGCTCCGCCGACATTTGTGGATTTGATGAATAGGGTGTTTAGACAATATATTGATATGTTTTTAATTGTGTTCATTGATGATATATTGATTTATTCAAAAAGTGAGAATGGGCATATTGATAATTTGAGGATTGTGTTACAAAATCTCAAGGACCAACAACTCTTTGCGAAGTTTACCAAATGTAAGTTTGGGCTAAGTTCCGTAGCTCTTCTTGGTCATATTGTTTGAAGTAAGGGTTGTCACGCCTCAAATCCCATTAAGACGGACAGGCACTCGATGCCCTAACGGCCCAAGAGAACCAAATGTGACCTGTGTTTACTATGCATGTAACTATGAAAGTTTTGTGACAAGTTCGCCAGGGACACAATGATCTGAACCGACATAAGTAGACCCAAAACTTATATACAAGACTTGGCCATTGAGGCCACAACTGGTTAAGATGCAACTGAACCATATACATAAGTCTACAAAGCCTCTAAAAGATAGAAACCCTCAGAGTAGGTCGGGACAGACCCCGCCTTACCCCTAATTTGGTATTGTACCGTAGCTAAGGGTAAGGCGGGGTCTGTCCCGACCTACTCTGAGGGTTTCTATCTTTTAGAGGCTTTGTAGACTTATGTATATGGTTCAGTTGCATCTTAACCAGTTGTGGCCTCAATGGCCAAGTCTTGTATATAAGTTTTGGGTCTACTTGTGTTGGTTCATATCGTTGTGTCCCTGGCGAACTTGTCTCAAAACTTTCATAGTTAAATGCATAGTAAGCACAGGTCACATGTTGGTTCTCTCGGGCCGTTAGGGCATCGAGTGCCTGTCCGTCTTAATGGGATTTGAGGCGTGACATAAGCAATGCATACTAGTTGCACCCTAACATGAGGATTATAGATAATCTACTAGTAAATAATCATCATACCATCAAGAACATACATGGAATTACCATGTTTAGTTATGTTCAAGGAGGGACTACCTTCTCCTAGTCACAACATACACACATGGCATCATAAAACTCATAAGCAAGCATTACACAAAGGTCAATTCATTTAACCTAAGCATACTCATACTCTCTTCCTCATGAAGTCAAGAGTGCATTCACCATATAAAGATGCATATTGACATGAGAAACATGAATTTTTTTACTAAAATTCCATTTTTATGTAATAAGAATCCTTCAAAACATGCATAACATAGTGTCTTCGAAGACATGCATAACATATGGAGATCATGCAACTCATAATCATATGCAAGACTCCAAAACATGAACAATCTACTAGGTACTCTTTGGTCTCAAACTTGAATAAGAATAGAAGGAAAATATTAGGATATCAACAACCTTACTAGTCACTCATCATCCCCCACTTAGGGTAAGCCTATCTAAGAGCATATTAAAGTAACCAAGAGAACTATCACTTACCAATTAAGCAAAATGTCCCCCTCTTGGGATCAAGTTATGGAAACTCCTTTAATCATTACCTCCTTCATCTCTAAGGTATTGCCTTCAAGGCCATGATCTAAACATGCATATATAGACAAAAAGTAAACACCGCCACCGTACGTGGACCAAACCACACAACATCAATTCTCATACTATAAACTAGAAGTTAGGTCAACTTACCAATTCTCCATGCCATGACCACCATGGATCAATCCTCAAAAATTCATAATCAATTGACATAGATAGCAATAGGAATCAACAATGTAATTCAATAACATAAACATAATCTAAGTACAATTCTATAAACAAAGGGATCAACCCATAACTTTGCCCATAAGGCCATAATTCTCAACTAATCAATATACCAACAATTCAACATGAATAATTATAGATAATCATAGGAAACATCAATACAATCTAATATAAACATAATTTCTCCAATAGAGATCATATTCACAAAGACCCACATCATAGAACAATTTTTGAGAATTTGGGGATTATGGGTTCTTCAAGAATTTCTTTGAAAATTATCTTAAAAACCTTAATTCCACATTAATTCATCAATAGAATGATTTAGAAAATCGTTTGACAAGGGACCCATGTTTAGATTGAAAATTGAGAATTTTGGTCTTTGAATCACTTTTAAAAATCTTTGATAGAACTCCTTGAATGAGAGGTTATTCAAAAATCAAGAGTTATCATACCTTAATTATTGAAGACCCATGAAATTGAGGAAGAAATCAGCTGAAAACCCATCTTCTAACTCGAGCTTCATTTAGGTCTTCAATGGAGTTTTTGAGAGAATCTATTTTTGAGAGGGAAGGGTCAATTTGAAGAATGAGATCTAATTCTAGGTTTTGGGGTTTTAACCAACTTAAAATACCCTAAAATAGGTAGAATAACCGTTTAAAATAATTCCCAAAGTACCCAAATCACCCCTCACTTAGTTGGACCTTTTAAACAAGTCAAACCTGAGTTTTATTTTTGCAGATTTCGTCGGGGAACCAGTCTGCGACGCGCAGGTGTTCCCACAAGTTTCTGGAAATTAAATTTCGAGAGAGTAAAGTCTGCGACGTGGACATGCTCTGATAGCATCCGAGGAAGCTCTACTCTATTGAAGGACAAGGATGAAGCTTTAGAAACTCCAAGGAGGCCCATAACAAGATCTCAAACCAAGGAGTTCAATGATAAGCTCAATTGGCTTCAATCGCTGATCCAAAGGTGTCTTATTGGGGAAGAAGAGCTCAAGCCCAAGGGAGAGGAATTGTCCAAATGCTACAATTATTTGGTGGCCCAAATTCAAGCCCAAGATGAGGAATTTTAAGGTCCAATTTCGTGCAAATAAGGTCATAAAGAGTCCAAGAATCATCCACAACAAGAGTTGCTTTCTGTCCAAGTTTTGATAGAAGACTAGTCAAACTTTCCAAGATTGTCAAGATTCTTTTCCTAGTTGGGATTTACTTTATTTATTTATTTATATATATATATTTTCCTTAGTCTATTTATGGTCTCCTAAGTGCCATTTAATGCTTTCCTAGAAGTAATAAATTTGTTCCTAGTTAGGTTACTTTATTTCCTTTCTAGAGTAGGATTCCTTGTAATTGTCTTTCTAGGGTTCCTTGGACGTTTTTTCCCCTTCTCCTATATATAGGAGTCCTTTTCATTCATTAAAGACAATTTAGATTGATATTAATAATATTTGAGAGAGTTCTTTGAACCTTTGTGACTTGTTCTTTGAGAATTTATCTTTAAACCTTTACTAATTTCATAGTTTAAGGTATAAAGTAACTTCTTCTTGTGATATCTTTGGTTTCTTTTTGGTATTCTTTAGAAGGTGATTAGTTTCTACATACTAATTATTGTCTTTAGTTACTCATAAAGTTGTCAAGATCCGAATCTATCGTTTTGATTCGTTTTCTCAAGTAAAGGCGTTAGATTTCTTCCATAAATCTATACGTTGTTACTTGGATCTTTTCAAGGCCTTAGAACATCTAATCCTTGGAAATTCGTGGATCTTTCCTTCGAATTTCCATATCTTTGGTTAGTTTTTTTGTTTCTTTTATTTGTGCTTCCGCATTCTAATATTCATTTCTCTATTTGTGATCTCCATTAAACTTGCTGTTATCATGCTCCCTCCATGAGCATTTTCATGTTGCCTTGGCAGCTTGTTTGGCCAAGGGTTTGGGTCCTCCTCCGGAACCCTTAGGGTGCTCCCGGTGAGTCGTACCTGAACGTTTTGACCCTAAAAATATTTCTTAAGACCTTGGGTCACCTCCACTGATTTTAGACTCCAAACAACACATAAAAACATGAACAACATACTAGAGCACACCAACACGTAAAAGACTAGTTTCCGATCGTCTTGGTCGTCCCTTGATGTTTGAATTCCAAACTCTTTAAAACTGACTAAAAAAGGCTATTCTTCATTATTTTAACAAGTTATTAATGCATAAAACCCATGTGAGGCTCTACTTGATCCTACTTTATTTTGAGGGTTATTACAAATTCAACACTCATATAAGCTTCACTCTGAAAGCCTTAACATTGATAGTTCATCATATTACCTTTTAACCTCAAAGCCCTAGAAGTCAACATTGATAAATACAAGCCTTTCTCTCAAAGAAATACTTCTCATGATCATTATATATTCCTAGATCTCAAGACATTCAAATCACATGTTTCATTCTTAACCAATTCAAAAAAGATATCATCTTATAGGCTCAATCTCAAGCACTACCAACAATGATTCATCATATACATTTCAAACTAATTCTATTCATGTCTATATACTTTACTCTAAAGCAATTAACATCTATGTGCTCTAATCTCAATCAATTATCAACATAATTCATCAATCCTACTAGGAGATATCTAAACTCAGAAAGTTTTCCTTCATGGCATCAACCTAAATATATCTATTCTAGGTCATAATATGGATACATGTAATTTCACTCTAATAACATGTAATTATACAAATTCAATCATAAACAATCACAATCCACTCAATTGGATCAACTTACATAATAACCTAAAACATTGGAAGAAACCCTAGCTAGACATAGGGAATTCTACATCAAATTGTGGAAATTCTAGGGGACTCCATGGGAGAAAGGATCCCATGGATGAGAAGTCATCATACCTTGATTATAAATCCCTTACAAATCTTGTAGAATTGGAGACTTGACTTGACCTAGCTTGATCCTCTTCTTCCTCTTCTTCAGTGTCTAGAGAGAGTATTTGGGAGAGAATTGGGTTTCTATTGGGGTCTTGAAATAATGACTTGAATGACTTAGATTAGGGTCTAAAATACTTATATAGGTGGTTTAGATTAGGGTAAAATGATACCACTTAAGTCTAATTAAATTCGGAAAGTCCCAAAGTGCCCCTAAACTAACCGCCTCAGCTGCCTCAAAACTGCCTAACCATGCGACCACGCTGACGGGCTGTGGATGGACCCACAGGCTATCCTAGTCATACGTGGTTTGGGTTCTGGGAGTTGGTAAGAACAGCTTGGACCTACGACTACCAACCACGAGGCGTGGACCCATCCACGGGGCGTGGCTCCTAGTCGTTGTTACTGCCTTAGGCAGATTTTACGGTGGTCATCTATGAAGCCCCTCTACGGGGAATGGTTGGACCCTCGTGGTTGACTCCTGGAATTCTAAAGGTTCCTAAGTTTTCCTCTTGTCATATATGGGGTGTTTCAGAGTTACTTAAGGATTACAATATTAGTGTTCTCTATCACCGTATCAAATGTGGTAGCGGATGCTCTTAGCTGATTATCAATGGGTAGTGTTGCCCATGTAGAGGAAGATAAGAAAGAATTAGTACGAGATGTTCATAGATTGGCCGATTGGGTGTTCGATTGATGGACTCGACCAAAAGTGGTGTTATGGTTCATAGCGGTTCAGAATCGTCTTTCGTGATTGATTTGAAAGGTAAGCATTGTCTTGATTCGACCTTAGTAGAATTGAAAGAATTGGTACTTAGGAAGTCTATTTAGGCTTTCTCCCAAGGGGGTGATGGTATACTTATATATCAAGGTCGTTTGTGTGTTCCAAATGTTGATAACTTGAGATAACATATATTAGTAGACGCCCATAATTATCGATATTCCATTCACCCCGGAGCTACCAAGATGTACCGTGATTTGTGGGAGGTCTATTGGTGGAATGAAATGAAGAAGGATATTGCGGGATTTGTTGCTAAGTTTCCTAATTGCCAACAAGTGAAAGTTGAGCATCAGAAACCGGGAGGTTTATCCGAAGACATTAGTATTCCTACTTGGAAGTGCAAAGATTTGAGTATGGACTTCATAGTTGATTTGCCTCGTACAAGGCGACAATATGATTTGATTCAAGTTATAGTAGACTGATTTAAACATTATAAAAGACACTTCATCCAATTGTAAGCATCAACAATCATTAGTCAGTATAAAACCCAACTAAGTGAGTTGGGGTCGAATCCCACAGGGAGCGTACGTGTTTAAAATTCAATAGGAAAGGATGAATATGTTCAAATCAATCGTAGGAATAGAAGTGATCGAATAAAGACATAATTCAAATAAGGGGATGACATGAATGTCAAATGGGGGTTATGGTTTGAAATTATCAACTACGAACAGTGGTAAACAAAACGAAAAAATACTAATGAGATGGGTTCTTGGGATGTGATTCGATTATACGCTAATATTGACAAATGAGTAATTGCAACTATTAGAAAATAACTAAATATTTGTGAGTAAGCTAGACTATAGAGGATGTAAACTTTCTCTCAAACATTTTACCCTGATTCAAGTCGATTTCTCTCGAACATCAACAAGCGAACAAAATAAGAACAACCCACACAAAGTCCATTCACTCTCTCAAGCTAAATGTGTGGGATTGGGTTTAGGATTCACTCTCTCGAGCTGAACCCATGTAAACCAAATACCCACTGACCATTAATCAATAAGCTTAGTTTTAAAACCTCTCTCTCGAGCAAGCCAAAAACACAAGGGTAGAACTGCATTTGAAATTGCAGTTCTTAAATTAAACCACAATTCCTGATTGAACACAGTTCTAAACATCATTTAAACTAACAAAGCAATACCCATAAACTAAATCAGCCCATAATCACACCCCAAGAATTGAAATTTTAGCTAGACATCATAAAAAGATAAAATTCGTTACCAAATTGAGTTTCCATCAACTGGGTAACATTAATTTCGTCCTTACAATGCTCCAAATCGAAGAATCTCAAATACCCACTTCCAATTTCTCAAAAGTGAAACACTTCAATTCTTCTAAGCTAAAGAAAACTAGAGAAAACTTGTCTCCAGAGCTCAAAATTTAATAATAAAATGTTCTTAAGAATAATTGATACTAAACTAAATGTTCAAAAATGTATTTATAGTCGTCAAAAATATGCTTCAAAGAGCCACTTGGCGAAGTAAGTCGGACTCGCCGAACCACTCGGCGAGCCGCCCTTCGATCACTTTCATCGCTTTTCTTTCCTTTTTTTCCACATTTCTACCCGTGATCAATATTTCACCCCATTATTCACTTCCAATGGAATACTGGGCACCCCATTGCTTGCAACTTTCACAATTTTTATTTCACAACTTTTTCGTTATTTTTCTTTTTCATTCCTCTTTTCTTTTTCTCTTACTTTTTTGTGTGGAGGGGTTTCATCTTTATCAAAACCATAGATCAAGGGGGACTTCTTCACAATTTTTTATTTACCTTCTTTTTTCACCACACCCCCAACATAGGCTTTTGGACTATGTTGACTATTCAAACAAACCACACATCATGAGAATTACGGATGATTGGATAAAGAGGGGTTACAATTGCATCAACTTTTTCCAAGGAAAGGACAAGGCTTAAAAAAAGGGTTTCAAGCAAAGTTCACACACTCACAAGGTTGGCCACAAAAGAGGTATTTTGTAAAATTGTTTCACTCTTCAAAATTGTTGCCTAAGATTATTTCAAGAGATTGCATCACTTAGTCAACCGGATCAACGGGGAAAATTCTAGGTGTCATCACACAAGGTTCAAGGTAAGCTCAT